CGATAGTTGTTGCACTCTACTTAGGTATCTTCAAAAGAAAATAAATAGAACTATACATGAGTGACCTATTGAATAATCATTAACTGTTGTCAATGGTTGTTGTAGGAAACACATAATAATAAACATGCATCCATTTATGAAATAGGATAGGAACAATACAAACATTACATAGTTATGTATAGATTAGTATGTTGTCTCCTTTGTAATTTTTGAATCCATTAATATGATTATCTCCCTCATTTAAGTCTTCCACCCAATTAAGTCTGCTATAAATTTTTCAGTGTTTCATAGTTTTCCCATAGGAGCCTTCTATGTATTTTGTTGGATTTATTCTTGACAATTTGAGTTAGATCATGTGTTCAAATTTGTTTCACATAGTCTGTTACTGTTATATTACAATGAATAGATTTCTCTGTACTGACCTTTTATCTAGCAACCTTATTAACTGTCTCATTTAGTACAATAGTTTCATTGTAGAGTCTTTATATTTTCTGCATATAAATTAGTGGGGATGCAAATTGCGACTCTGCATTTTCTTCTCAGTTTTTTAGTGATGCCTTCTTTTGGTCTAATTTTCCAGTTACACCTTCCACCCAGGACAGACAGTCACAGCTCACACCCTTTACTCATCCCTGGGCTCCAGGGGAAGATCGTCATCGTGTGTGACACCATTTGCAGGGTTTTCTTAGGTTAGGGATACTCCCTTCTATCCCAAGCTTGCTGCTGACATTTTCATGAATGGATATTGAATATTACCGATGGCCTTTTCTGCATCCATTTAGCAGATAGTGTTACATTCTATTTTGTTAGTGGAGTTTATTACAGAGATCGATTGCCCTTTTCAGGGCTGGAGTTCAAGGTTATACTGATTGAATGTAATGAGTTGAAAAGTTGTCTTGTGTCTCTTACTATTTCCCTCTCTCTTTAAGTTATTTTTTATGAATTTGCTCAAGATTGGCCATATTTTATTATATGTTGATTTAAAAATTTCCTTGCCCTGAAATATTCTTTGGAGAGATCATTTCAACTCAGCTCCTTTGCAGTTGCTCTGGGACTTCAGTTCGTGATCTTCTTTCCATGATCTGGTCCCATGTGTGCTTGCAATTCCATTGCAGCTGGAATTGTGGAATGAATTCTGTGACCAGAATCATGGAAATAATTAAGTTTGAGGACCAATGCCCCACTGTAGATGGTCTTTCTCCTTCAGGGCAAGTCTTCAGAGGCTGGGAGAGTGTGAGAAGTCAGACACCCGGGTCATGTGTTCTGATGTGGGACTTACTAGGACCTGAGACAAAATGACCTCCATGGCATTGAGACCATAGTCAGCCTACATGGTCACCTTGAACTGAACTTATGTCTGGGAAGGTCAACTCTGTGAAACAGTAGTGAGTTAGCTGACCTTCGGAGACTCCTTCCACCTGAGTACAGTCACATTCCAGGTGCCCCTCCTCTCCTGGGCAGGTGCTGGCCCCTGACCGATGCTCGGACAGCCAATCCATCTCTCCCTGATGCATGACTTGAAATGGGGGCACCACCATGGCCTATGATGTCCATTGGAGGTTCAGCCCTTGTGCTGCCTGGGGGAACACCTTGCTACCTGACCTGATGTGCGTCTGTGTCATCAGTCAGTGTGTTGCTGTCTAACTGAGCTCTCCTGTTGCCTCCCAAAATGCTACTTTATTTGCTCGCTGTCTCACAACCTATCCTGCTGTTTAGTGTTTGTTCCTTAGGACCATACTGGAGGGTGTCACCATTCAACAACAGATACTTCTGGAGACGGTCGTGAAGGTCTTCCTGTGTTTCCACTCTTTTGGAAAGAGCCTCTGCACAGGGCATGCATGCACAGACCTCTCACCATCCATGCAAAAACATACCACCCTCTCTTGTTCCTGAGTTTGTTTTCCCCAGTGTTTTGTGAGCACAGCTGTGGGTCTTCTCCCACGGACTTTGTCTGCCCTGACTACAAAAATGAAACTGCAGAACTATGAACTAAGCAGACCTGCAGCCACTCAGTGATCCCTTCCAGCGGATCTTTGGTCTACAGCATGCTAGAGAAGTGTGGGATTCCTTACTTTAAGTTCATGAAAATGTTCTATTTGCCCCAGCTCCAACTGGCATCTGTGTTCCTAATGCACCGCTACCTGACAGGAATAAACGCCCTACTGAGGTGAAGGGAAACCACCAATCTTGAGCCAGGAAATCCTAGCTGATGTCTCCTGGTCCCATCTGGATGTGGTCCTGCCCAGAACGAGGTGCCCATGCTCAGTACCATCGTGGTACCTTGCCCCATTCATGCTCCTCACAGCTGGGATGAGGAGCCTCTATGCGTCTCACTTGTCGCTGACAGAGAATATTGCTTTGCCAGTCGGCCACGGTTCCTTCCCAGTGACCTCTGTCAGTCATTTCTCCGCCTCCCTGTAGGAAAAGGGGCCACACCCACCTGCTTCCCTCAAATGGGGTCTCATCTGGGAAAGCAGGAAGCAGAGTGTCTGACCTTTCTCCTTGCATGTGAAGAACAGCAAAGGTCATTCTGATTTTTAAAACTTTAGAGAGTTGAAAGATTTCTCCTACTTGAAAAATGTTGTTATGGAATTAATAAAAACCAGAATTTAAGGTTTTAACATAAAACAAAAAAGGCAAAGCTTTCTTTAAGACGTTTAAACTGAATACTTAGTCAATGGGAAAATGAACCCTAATGTAAACCCGCTATGGAGGGTAGACAGACAAAGCCAGCAAGCCAGCGACAGTCCCCCGCTCACACTGGTGAAGGAGAACCTGCTGACACAAATAACACAGGACGTATCGCCCCGCACCCATGTGACTGTCCACTCATCTTGAGTCTTTCACCTGCTTTGGTTTGTGAGATTTGGTTCTTACCTCTCAACATGTGTGGAGTCATGTTGGAAACATATTTTGATCTTTGAAAAAGCATTGAGCTACCCGGTACTGGAGAAAAACAAAAACAAAAACAAAAACAAAAAACAAAAACAAAAACAAAAAAAAAGAAAAAGAAAAAGAAAAAGCATTGAGCTATCCTTTTGTCCTTCAGAGCTCATCTCCTGGAAGGGTTAGAGAACCCTCCAAAGACATAAAAACATGCACGTGGTCATTCTCAAACTCAGAAAGGAAACAGTCCTAGGAAATTCCACCTCAACCTGTTATCAATACCCTTGACAAAGGTTAATTTTGAAAATAAGAGTATCTCCAGAAGTTGAAATTCCTTAAAACAACCAGTCACAATGAGGCTAGATTGTTATTAAACTACTGCATTGAAAAAAACTTCTTCCACGTATGTGTGTGTCTGAGTACAAATACACACACACACACTCACACAAACACACACAAACACACACACACACACATTATTGGCTGATTGTATTGCTTGGGACTTATATGCTGTTCCACTCTGCAGCACCATAGCAAAAATCATTTATGAGTAAAACAGAGTTGGGTTTTTCCCTTAAATTTAGTTGAACTTTTTGTTTGTCCAATTCCCCAAGAACCTACATTTAGGTTGCTGTGGATATCGAACTTGGGACACCAAGTTCCAATAAATTCACCAAGTTCCAATAAAGTTCACTTCCAATAAATCTTAATAGCAAACTCAACTGATCACCCCAGAGATTGATTCTGTGGGCCACTGCCATTTTTCTCCAAGACAAGTTATTCTAAGTGCCAATACATTTTACCCCACACAAATATATGATTGTTTTAAGCTCTATGAATCAAAATGGATTTTTGTCAACCTTTTCAATATCATTCTGCCACAAACACCTTTTTGAGCAGCAAAGTACAAAACCTTTATATAGTAGATGTTGTTAAAACAAAAAAAAACAACTAATATGGCAAGTGCAAGTGCATAGAAGTCTACCACACCTGTCCTTTCGTAAATTGACTCTTCCTAGGGGAAAATAGCCAAATTCCTTAGAAATATAATCATTATAAATATGCTTTGAAAACATTCTAAATTAAATGATTTAACGTATTCCTTTGAACAATATTTTCCTGTGTATATTTTAAAAGGTCATTTTCTGCAAAAATATGTGCTCTGTTGATGTCTATTTCCAGTCGCTTATATCCGTATTAGTTCAAATGAGTAAAGCTCTGTAAATGTGCTAGGTGTATGCTCATAACATATACTTCATGGGATTCTGCTTTTAGGGAGAATGAGCCCATTAAAAGGATAAGGTAACATGTGGAAGGCGTGGAGGCGGGGCTTGGATCACAGCTCCGTGCGTGCAGGGTTGTGGAACCAGCACTTCTGAGCTGCAGAACCCCAGCTGTTATCAGCCTAGCAGGCCTTAATTTCTCAGTTTGTAAAAGTGCAGCGACAGTCCCCCGGCTCACACTGGTGAAGGAGAACTGGCTGACACAAATAACACAGGACGCATCGCCCGCACCCATGTGACTGTCCACTCATCTGAGTCTTTCACCTGCTTCGATTTGTGAGATTTGGCTCTTACCTGTCAACATGTGTGGAGTCATGTTGGAAACATATTTTGATCTCCTTTAAAAAAGCATTGAGCTATCCTTTCCAGGCATGAAGTAAGGGCCATTTAGAATACTGACTATACATGTACAATATATGTAGAATGGCGTCTTTATCAAGTGATACAGGTGCTGGCATTCAATTGTAAAACATATTTATGCTAAAAATCGACTTTCAACTTTGTGGAGTTTCGAGGCCACTGTCTCTAGGAAAATCTTCTCTCCACAGGATGATTTCTCCTGCCCGAGGCCTATGAAGTTACAAAAGTCTGCACCAGCTGTTGCCACTCTCTAGAAAAATACTAGAGGGAGGACTGCACTAGGTGTCCGGAGATGGAGACGGCACGCACGGCCCTGGACGGAGGCAAGGAAATGTTGAAGTGGGGCAGTCGCGCGGAAGCCCCCCCAGCCTGGGTCTCTGCCGCCCTCCAGGAAGCAGCACACGATGTCCCTGTAGCCCTCCTTACAAATTAAAGCTCCTCTGAAATCTTACTGAAGTATACAGACTCAAGCCAGTTCTTTATTTTCCTTTCGTTTTGGTAAAACACTTCTAAATTTAAAAAATGTCATTCCTTTTACATGAAACCCTCTCTGCCAAGTAAGAAAGAGACAACAGCTGCTTTCCACTTCTGCTTCCTTCGCCCGCTGCTCTACCGTGACCCAGGCCCAGGGGAATTTCTCCCGCAGCCTCTAGGTGACTCCGTCACTTCCCATAGTGCAGACTGTGCGCTTGCTTACAGGGAGCCTCCGTTCTGGAATATTTTGAGGGTTTCCCTTAACATTTGGGTTCTTTGGTATACAATGTTCCCGGCTCCTAAAAATAAAAATATTTTAAAATAAAATAGTAAATAAATAAATAAAATAGAAAAATAAAATTTTTTTTCTTTTAAAAATTAAAAAAACTGACCAAACAACAATGAAGACAAAAACGAAACAACACAAAAACAACAAAAATGATACATGATCTCAAGATAAAATGATAGAAGTTTACAGTGGCTGCTGTATTACATATTGTTATCTTCCATGAGGTTGCTCAGTCCATTAGACATAAGAATGTAAGACTGATCAAACAATCAAAGACAGTAACAAGTAAAAAATAAATAAAACCTTGGAGGTGATGCAGAGCCTCACCATACAAGATGGTAGGGGTTCAACGGTTCTTACATTGCATGCACTGATTTGCAAGGATGCTGATGCTTTTCTGTGGCTACGTCCCCCTCGCCAGCGTCTTGCCTGTGCCTGGCGTTTCCTCCTCTGCAGTGGAGCATGGAGGGCACCATACCGAGCTGAGAGGAGGGGAAAGAGGAGAGAGGTTGAACCCATGCACAAGAGAGGAGCGGTGAGGAGCTCACATCCCCAGAGAAGGGAACTGCAGAGGGCCTCTGTGGACCCAGGAGGCCGCGCCCAGCAGGACAGCTAATGTGTGTCCCTACAGGGGCCCCTGGGCCACCCCAGGTGGGACGGAGCTGGGCTCCTCCTCCTGAGCTGCAGCCCTACTTGAGTGGGTGAAAATGCTATTGAGTGCAGGCGTCTAGGCCCTCACCCAAGCTACAGAAAGGTTATTTCTGTCTTACCCAGTGCAAGGCAGGCACACGTCTCTCCGCGTCACATCAGCTCTATAATTCTACCCACAGATGGGAGTTGTCCTCACACAAAATGCCCAAACCAGATAGAGGAAAGATCTGTAGGATTAGTAATACAAAATCAGGTAAGGTGCCACAGTTTTACTGCTGCGAATGTTTCAGACTCTTGAGCAGCTCCCGTCCAGCTGAGTACAAAATGCTGTTTTTGTTTAAGCGCTCCCTTTTTACTACCGTGTGCTCTCCTACGCCATGCTGAACAGCATAATGTTACTGCTACTAATAGGGACCTAAATACAGCATCTGCTAATTTCCTAATCCGGCACCTGTCAGACAGTACCTCAGCAAGCCTGGATGTGCTGACTCTCCTGGCTTTGGAGGTCATGAATCAGGGATATTACACACACACACACACACACACACACACACACACACACACACTAAAAGAGAAAGACAGAGGCAGAGAGAGGGAGAGGTGCACACTGTTTGGATTAACAAGCAAACTGCAACCACAGTGACAACAAACGTACAACTGAAGATGGACAAAGGACTTGACCAGATATTTCTACAAATGGAATACACAAATAGTCCAAGACCACATGGAAAAAAAGTCAATATTACTTAGTCATGAAGGAAATACAAAAGCAAATCCTGATGTAATACCACTGCATACACAGAATTATGTATCACAAAGATAGGAACTTAAAAATGAAGAAGGGGAGAAGGTGGAACCCGTGTACACCGCAGCAGAAGCAAGTGTGGGGGTGCCATTGTGGGAAATGCCACTGTGGGAAATGCCATTGCTGGAGGACTTGCACATGGAATCACATCACCTAGAAATTCCACCGTAGGGCGGGTAGCAAAGCAGGGAAACCAGGGACCATGTCCTCATCCTTCACAAAAGGCTAAGGTGGAAGGATTGCATTGTCTCTCAGTGGATAAGTGGTAAATGAAATGTTGCAGAATAAACACAGACAATGGAACAGGTACACATATCCATGTTTGTATCCTGTAATGATTGCAGTCGTCATGTCGTCTGTATGTGTATGCAGCGCACCTCAACTCTTCCTTCACCCCCACTCCTCCCCTCCCTTCCTTCTCCTTCTATCCCTTGGCCCTCTTCCGTTTATCAAATCTCTATTTCTGTTTTTTCTTTCAGTTCTTTTTAAAGCCCCTCTTCCTGCATCTCCCTTCATCTACCCCATTTGTTGGTCTTCTTCTCATTTGAAAAAAAAATCTATCTCCTACTTCCTATTATCTGTCTTTTATTTTGTTTTTTGTTTATATTTTGTATTTCTCATGTAAGAGAAACCATGATTTAAGCTTGTGTGTCTGCTTTATTTCACTTAATATGACCTCAGCGTGCATCCTTTTTCCTATGAATGCTTCAAGTTTATCCTTGTCTATTGCAGAGTAGTGCTCCACTGTGTATAAATACCACATTTTCTTATCCATTCATTGTGGATGGGCACACAGGTCCATTAGCTACTGTGAATTGTGCTGCTATAAACATGGGTAAGTATGGGTCTCTGTCTTATGATGTCTTTAACTCTTTTAGGAGGATACCCAGAGAGGGAAGAGATGGGTCAGATGGAGCTGTAGCTTTACTTTTGAAGCCTCTCCACACTGATGTCCATGGTGGCTGCAGCACTTTGCATTCCCACCAGTGATGAAGAAGGACTCTCCCTACTGCCCCCACTGCCCGGGGCTGGCATTTGTCCGCCTCCAGAACTTCCCCTTCTGAAAGGCCCTTCCTAGCTAGCTTCTAGGAAGTGCCACCCCTGGCTTTCCTCCTCCCTTCCGTGGGGCAGGCCATGGTGTCAGCTCCTTTTTCCTGCTCCAGAGGGTGGCTTGTTTCAGGGGTCACCCCAATAACTCTCCTCTCTGTCTCTGCTCAGTTTGCAGATCTCTGCAGGGCCCCAGGTCTTTCTTCTGAGCACCAGGCCCCAGCCTAACAATGGATAAAATTCTCCAGGTATGGGAGGTCTGTCCCCTTCAGGGTACCATCAGAGCTCAGGGTTGTGCACTTGGAACCCCTGGATGTGAGTCCCTTGGACATAAGTGCTACCAAAAAGAGCAGAGTCACCCATCTCTGGCCTCCCTGGCCCTACAAGGACAGCAGCCTGGCTGCCCTCTTCAGGGCTACACACAGTCAGGGCACACGTGTGCCAGGCCTCACATACCACCCTGGCGGCCAGAAGTTAATTTTTCTCATAAGCTCCTGAGCCGGACAGACAATTGCTGGCAGACAGTGCTATTCCACACAGTAACATCTGCTGTACTGGAAATCTACTTATCAGGAGATTTACTCATCACTAAATAGAACTTCCTTCTTTTTTCCACTTCAGATCTTTAATCATTGTGAGTCAACTGAATTATTCATAATTCTTAAAACAACATAATGCTTTGGCGTGTTTGCTGTGACTTAAAGTGGCAGTTTAGATGGAAAGAAAACACTTGGTTCCCTGTTTCGCACGTAACTGAGCCATTGATCTCAGCCTTCGTTTACGGGAGCACCGGCGGGAATGCTTTCCCACCCGTTTGCACATTTAGCTCAATATGCATTGTATAATTTTTACTTTTACTCTTTTTTAAAAGTGAGAAATATAGCCTTTGGGCAGGAGAAGGAAGTAATTAGTGGCTGCTGAGATGCTTCAAGCCGGCTGGTGTGGGAAGCTGACCTCACAGGGCTGTGTGTCTTGCACTTCATCACTGTGACATTACTCCCCCCCCCCCCGGAGACAGTGTATAAATCTCATCACTGATGCACTCAACAGTGGGTGCGATGATACATTATTTGGTGTTATAAAATATATTATTAAAATGTACAACTGAAGGATGTGCCTTTGATATTTTCACATTTATGTGCCTAACTTTGTTAAACTGCAAAAGGATCACAACCATACAGGTCTGATCATTAGTGAAATAGCTCTGAATGCAGAACAATTGAAATTCTAGTTTTAGTGAGAAAACAGCCTTAAAAAATTGTTCCGAGGGGTCTCAGAACGTCCTCCACATTTAGATTCGTGGTGGGCGGAAACTGCATCCGAGAGGCATCTGATGTTCATCTTCCCTCCACGCACCGCAGTGGAAAGTGCAGGATTTGTTACCATAGAGATTTGGACAAATAATTTTATAATGAGTTTTTCACACAGAGAGATGCATATTGTGGTTAAAAATTACCCAGTTCCTGCACAGAAATGACTCTGAGAACAAATGAGGCTCTGAGGGAAAGGAGAGCACTGCTGCGGAGGCGGAGGCCAGGGAGGATTCACCTTGGAAAACAGCTCAAGTGACTCCTGAGGCCAGAAGCCTGCATACTAGCCATGGAGGAGGAGGAAATGGAGAGGAGAGGAGGGGAAGGGAAAAGAGAAAAGGAAGAGAGGGGAGGGGAAGGGGAAGAGAAAGGGGGAGGGGAAAAGAGGGGGAGGAGGAGCACCTCTATGCTTCCCTCTGCTCCACGAATCCTTCTCCCTCACTCTGTCATCCTCTGAGCCTCCGTGTGACAGGGGCACAAGTGGGTGGTGCATGGGCCTGGTGCCCCCTGGGTGAAGGGCCTGAAGACTTGGGGCCCACAGGGACAAGGATGTTGGTCCATTTTGATGACCCTTAGTGAAACGCAGGTCGGCCCACAAACGGTGGGGGAGGGCACTGTGTTGGGAGAAGCAAGTGCTACCCCTGAGACTAAGCTGTTGGAGGGCACAGCTGCATATCTGTTATGTGTCCCAGATAACAGATATAGGAGCAGGACAGCCGTGCTGTCTGGGCCAGCACAGTGGGCACATTGCAGTTCCGCCACTGCAACACTTGGAGGAGGCTTCTATTGCTGGAGATGCTCCACCTGAGCTCAGGGACTTACTGCAAGAGGGAATACAGACAGGTGCATTACAGCAACAGCACCAGGGGTGCAGGTTTTGGGGCCCTCACTGACCTACTAGGCCTGCGCTCCCAGTGTTCACTCTAGGTCTCATTTTCAGAGCAATAGGGCTGGTGCTCTTGGCTCACACTGCGACACCCACACTCTAATACAGAGAACAAGGAAATGCTGGTTGCAACATGGATCAAACAGTAGGGATGGAGACGATCTGATTATTTCCATGTTAAACTAGAGGCACATGGGGACCAGGAATTACACCACCAGATTCCTAACCCTAACCCTAAGCCTAACCCTAACCCTAACGCAACCAACACTAACCCTAACCCTAACCCTAACCCCAACCCCAACCCCAACCCCAACCCTAACCCTAACCCTAACCCTAACCCTAACCCTAACCCTAACCCTAACCCTAACCCTAACCCTAACCCTAACCCCAACCCTAACCCCAACCCTAACCCAACCAACACTAACTCTAACCCTAACCCTATGCTAGTCAAGCACTGGGAGCAGAGTGCCAGGAGTCACCCAGTGCCCACAGGGGCAGCCCAGCTGACACCATGTCCATCCTTCTCCTGAGCTGGGTTATTCTCACCCACTGACTTGCTGACCTACTGGTCTCTCCGCACAAGTTTCAAAAGTGAGCATCAGCCCTGGAGGAAGGGTTCTCCATGTGGGAATGCAGACCTCCAAAGCTGCATAAGCCCAAGGCTCCAAAGCAGGAAGCCCAGATTCAAGGCTAGGAACTCCTGGTGTCAGATTGGGAGCAGCCACTCTGGGCCACACCCTGAGGCAGCCTTCTGGTGTGCTGCCCTTGGAGACAGCACTGTGGCTGGTCCTGCCAAGTCCAGTTTCTTGTGCACCTCCACCAGGTCACTCAGCATGCTGACAAGCTGACTAATTCAGAGCAGCAAATCCTGCAGAACCAGGCCATCTACAAAGCTCCTTTGCCATACACAGGTCCCCATTCTGAGATGATGCTGCGGTAGAGGACCTCATGGTGGATCCAACACTTGAAGAACTCTCAGACAGGGGAGGATGGAGTCATCAGAGGCAGAAAGGTCAACGCACACCCATGATAGGGGCCAGGTGTGTCAGTGCCCAAGTAGAGTGTGATCCGTTCCAGATGAACTACAGTGCCTCGCTCTACAGAGCAGGGCTGTTCTCCAGTCCCGGTGGTGTGATTCCTGGTCCCCACATGCCTCTGGTTTAACATGGAGCTAAACAGACCATCCACATCTCCAAGAGTCAGGGTGTCCAGCCCTGACCCAAAGAGAATGGAAGACTGGTCCCTTTCTCCCAGCACCGTCAACTTTGCCCTCTCATAAGAAATAGCTGAACTTTGAATCTTGTGTGAATTTTGAATATTG